TGTTATCTTTTTACAAAAAACAGCTGAACATGAGAGGTTTTTGGACCAATTTTGTGTTCTCCATTCTTTAAGCACCGGTTTGAGCACCGGCACCGTTTCAAAAGTACCGATTTGGCACCGGTATCGGATAAAACCTAAACAATACCCATCCCTAATAAGCACACACACTCGCACACAGACAGACCTGCTCCAGTGTGTTGATCTCCAGGCCAGGCAAGGTGAACTTGAAATATGGCCGCAGGTTCTTGTAGACGTAGATGCAGGGTCCGGAGGCCACAGCGACAGCGGGGATGCGGGGCTCGTGCAGGTCCATGAAGAAGGCGACGAGGCCAGCGGGCAGGTCAAGCAGGGTGCTCTCGCTCATCAGCGCCGTGCCGCGGTACACCTTCAGCTTCATCCCCGACGACCCGGAGCCCAGATCCCCGACCACCAGCCGGTTCTCCCCGTCCCCGCTCAGGTCTGCCAGGTCCACGCAGGACGAGAAGGTGTAGATGCCAGCCACCGGGTCGTAGTGAGCGTCCAGCCACTTCCCTCCATCACCACTCGACTCAGCGGAGGACATCACAGCAGAAGGGGCAGGCGAAGCTTTATTCACACAGGGTCGTCACAGGAAGAGTCCTGAGCACAGACCGTAAAAACATGGAAACAGCTTTCTGGTCAGAAACCGCTGTATTCTATCTGAAAGCTACCAGGTGACGACAGTTGTAGCTGAGTGGCTCGTTTTGGTCACGCTGAATAAAAATGAAATGTGTTAGCACGGCCTCCTTCACTACATCCATGAACCTCCTCTGAGGTCTTCTTCGTCTCCTCCTGCCTGCAGCTCCATCTTCATCCACCTTTGGCCCATATAGCCACTCTCTATCAATACCTGAACCTCTGCTCCTTCCACCTGTCTCCCTTTCATTCAAACACCTTTCATACCTCCACCCTCCAGGCTCTTCTCCACTCGCTCCTTTCTCTCCCCACAGATCTGCTTTTTACTTCACTCCTGGTTTAATAACAGTTTGTGATGTGAGAGGGCGCTGTTACCTACACACACGTGCTGCTCTCTCGAGACGCAACGATATTTAATCGTTGTATGTTAGTCTCTATCAGTATCCTCTGCCTCCTGTCATGTGTATTATTAATTGACCCCTCTCAGCTCGCATACCGTGTTTGATGGATCTGATTTCCAGAACTCTCTCACCTGTTAGAGGTGAATCGCCACACTATGGACCCAAAGAGTTAATCAATAGCGGCACTAAAAATAATTCCCCTCCTCCCGGGTTGTCTCACCGTTGCCAAGGCAACCGTGTCGCTTCGTCTTCGTCCTCCGCCCGTTTGCTTCTTTTCGCGGCGTTTCTTCGGTGGAGCCGCTGCAGCTTCGCCTCACGGAGTCACTTTGGTCCCGATAAAGAGGAGTAAGTCCAACTGGATCCGCTGCAGTCAGCATCTAATCCCCAAATCCCCTTCAATCCTCCTGCCCGTTACCGACGCCACACGATGACGTCAATTTCATGCGGCGGTGTTTGTTTGTTTTTTTTTACCGAACAAGAATTCATACATAGAAGAAAATTCAGTCGAATAGAAGAGAAAATTAAAAAAAGTTTATGTTACATTTTTCTTAAAGGGCTGACAGCTATTCTTCATTACAAATATGACGGTTGATTTCTTTAACCACACTTGTTCATTTGTCACTGGCTTCGATAACTTATTTCTATATTTCTGAAATATAGAAAACTCCAAACTCGACAATCACTAAACAAAACCAGCAACAACAAAAAGCAGCGTCGTGTGACTTTATTTGTTAAAAAGAAACACTATATTGATCTCGCGAGATTCTACATGAAGGCAACAACGATTCTGTGACGTTGCTTCGTATACGTTCTGTGATTGGTCGTACTGTTCTAGTTTAAAAAGTAAACCGCGGAGAGGACAGCGCAGCAAGGCCGATAGGCAGTGATTGTTTCTCATGTTTGCGGTAGTAAATAGAGTGTGTGTGAAATAAAATATACGACACGTGAGTTCGAGTTTCATACAATATCGCTTTAATTCGTAATCCTGTCATTTAAAACGAAATTCCGCTTTGCTGAAGTCGTAAAAACGCGTAGATGAGATGGCTAATGCTAACAACAAAGCTAGCGGAGTGTAAAAACGGTCTTTGTTTACCTTCTGTTTGCTGTTGTTTCTTTGTGTTTGTTTGCTGTGATTGGTCAAAAATGTGATTTACTCTGAGCTGTGTTTGTGTGACTGTGGTGGCCAGTTTTAGTCAGGCTGTTTACACTCCAGTAGCTTGTATTGGGGCAGTGCTGGAGTCAGGCCGAACTCCATTATCATTTCTGGGAAATTAAAACTCTCGTTTGAATCTCAGTCGCACAGAAGCCGGCTGATCATGGGAGACATGTTTAAAGGCAGCACCTCATTTAGCTGGTAAAATCGGCGCAGATTAAAGCTCTATTAGGCGCTTAGCGGGCGTCTAGGCTGCCTGTGAGCTGTAGGTGAAACTCCCCGCGGGAAGACTGATAAAACGGTGGTTGATCGGACTGATGTGTTTGCAGAGAGAATGGATTCCAGTTTAGCTGGAAGGCCGGAGAGAGTGGGACCAGTGGAAGTGGGGGACATAAAGAAGGACCTGCTGGCTGAGTTTTCTGCCATGCCAACACAGGTAGGTCCACCACGGTCTGCCCTGACCTCGGACACAGTGTTGCCAACTCGTCAGTAAGGAAAATCGCTATTGGCTGTCCTAAAAGTCGCTAGAAGTCGCTAAATGACGTCATCGCCTAATCTGCATAATTGGTCATGCTAATGTAATTGTAACCTATGTTGTTGGAGAGAGAAATAACATCGTGGAAGATAGGGCTGCTCGATTATGGCAAAAATGATAATCACGATTATTTTCACTGAAATTGAGATTTCGATTATTTGACGATATTTATTTAACCCTTTAAGACCTACCATAGAACCAAGTCCACCAGAGCTTATATTATTATTTTTATTTATTTATTTATTTTTTTACATGTTGTAGTGCCATTTTTGGGAGCATTTCAAGTTGCTATACATCAATACAACTGTTATAGCCCATATTTTAATAATATGTATGCATTAAGTCCATAGTAATTACATTAATTACAAAAAAGTGCAATAAACTACAAAAAAATTGAAAATCGTTTTTGTTTTTACATATATTTCTACTTGAGGAAATTTAAGAGGTTTATCCCTCAAAACTTTAAATACAAAAAATAGTTTCCCACCACAGGAAATTTATTTTGAGTGTCTTCATAGTTTTACTTTGGAGATACACCAATTTTTATATACTGCAGGAAAAACAAAAAACAATCCTATGATGCAAATTTGCAAAGAAAACAGCACGTGCATCAAAATAGACTATTTCCAGCAGTGCAATTTGAGTTCTAAGCATCCCAGCAACTATTCAGAAAAGTATAGAGTCAAACATGACTTATAAAAACACCAGTATAGGCTTTTAAGGCCTACAAGTAAAAAACAAACAAACTACATTTTCCGTGAAAATGAAAATGATTGGCTCGGCAAAGCGTGTTTCTGGAATATTATGTTTTTGTTTCTGCAAGCGCTTTTTATACAATTTTTGCAAAGCTTTATGTGGAAGTAAGCTGATGGCATCAGATGTAAGTACAACTCCTCCGGTTTCATATGCAAAACAAATTATTGCGCTAGCTTACGCGGTTCTGGTTCTACAGGGATTTAAAGGGTTAACAATAACAACGTATTGAATAATGACTTTTAAAAAAAAATAGTGTGCAAATACTGATAACAGTGCAAATGTTTGCAATATAGAAAAAAATAAATGAAAAATGTAAACATCTGTGTTTAGTGAACTTTGCAGTGTTGCTCTGTGGCGCAGCTACACTGTAGCAAAGTTTACACACTGTGTCTACTTGATCCACGTCAAGTAGAACCCATAATGTTTCCACACCACTCAAGTTTTTTTTACCTCTCTTTTCAACCAATGGCAGTCACTCTCCTCCCCAAATAACTTCTGCTTAGCTTTCCGAGCTTCCCTTGGGTCCTCGTAATTGTTGTGACACGTGTTGGAAATGCAGAGAGGTGCGCTTGATTTGCCACACGGAGCAGCGCGAGAGTAAAGCACGAGGGAGGGGCTAATAATCGGCTCAGTCACTTTTAATGATCGTTGAAAGCCCAGATCGTAATCGTGATTAAAATTCGATTAATTGAGCAGCCCTAGTGGAAGAGACATAAAGTGAGTAAAAAAAACGTCCTAAATGCATTTAGAGTTTATTTAGAACTACAAATTAAATTTCTTTTAGCAATTATGTTTTTTTTAATGTCACAATTCCAACCCTGCTCCTTTACCCGGGCTTGGACCGGCAGAAGTGACCCGAAATAGGCGCTCTGGTGGAGTTACTGTGTGTGTGTTTATAAGTAGTTTTAAACCTTGTGATCCAGTAAAAGAAGAACACTGCGTTACAGCACCCGCTGCTTGTTGAGAGTAAAAGCGACACGCGCTTTCACGTCTTTTTTTAGCGACTTTTTTTTTTTTAGAAATAAAGTCACTAAGGGGTCTGAAAACTCGCTAAATATAGCGACAAAGTCGCTAAGTTGGCAACACTGCTCGGACAGGCTGTAGTACATCACGGACCCATCCATGGGACTTGCAGAGCAACGTCACACTGCTGTTGTTCCTGCACATGTTTGAATCAGAGTTTCTTCCTTTGAACCACATACACAGAGAGATCCACAAACACCACAAACTGTCTTCCACACAATGAAGATCTCTGTGGTCCTTTTATGTTTGATGCCCACTGATGTGTGTAGGGATTATTCAAAGCATCAGTACAGTCACCATTAACAGTGATGGTTTTCTTCCAGTTTGCTGTGAAATCAGAACCATTTTTTTTTGTTTATTGTTTATTGGTTTCCAGGAAATTTCCCATTAAAAGCATCCAGTGTATTCATCCTCCATGCACACACATGCACATCTGTACCTGCTGTTTCCTGTAACATGCCGTCGCTGTGTGATGGTTACCTGTTCTAGAGTTGGATGCAGGTCATGTAACTGATGCTGCTCTCTCTGCAGGACGACGCTCAGGAGCAGTCGGAGAACCTGCAGGTTTACCTGAGGGTTCGACCCTTTACTGCAGCCGAGAGCGGCAGCAGAGAGGCACAGGTGACACACACACACACACACACACGCACACCGCAGTGTTTTACAGGGATTCACTATTCCAGCTTTCTCCTACTCTGGGTGTCTACAGCAGAGATCAATGGTACCAGTTCTGTATTCCTCACCGAGGAGCATGCTGGATGTCATTCAGTTAAAAACAGAGGACTGATGTGAGACACAGGTGAAGCTGGCAGGAACCAAACTTCCATTCAGTCCACGCTCAGCAAAGCTTCACTAAACACAAATTTTAAGGAGGATAAGACAGGAACTTCTTCCTCACATAACGTTTACACGCAGAGGGAAACTTTCTTATTCCTGATTCCATCATCTGTTATGGATCAGATCTGTCACACGCACACCGCCACGTCTTTGTGACCTGCTCACAGACCTGGACTGTTCACAGTCTGTAGGCCTGAATGAGCAGCGCAGGTGTGTTTTCCTCTGTAGGACTGTGTGACCATCGAGGGGCCGGACACTGTGGTCCTCAAGCCTCCCAGGAGCTGCCAGTCAAACCGACAGAGCGACAAGTCCCTCCCACAAACGGCCCAGAGGTTCACCTTCACGCAGGTACGTGTCACCCGACCGGAGCTGTGCACACCCGTCCCACTTGCTTCACGCTGTTGTTGCCGTGGTGCCTTCAGGTGTGTCGTTTCTGTCGTGGTTGTATTTCAGGTGTTCGGTCCGGAGGCGAGTCAGAGGAAGGTGTTCGAGGGCTCCGTTCGGGGTTTGGTCCGAGACGTTCTGCAGGGAGGAAACTGTCTGGTTTTCACGTACGGAGTCACCAACGCCGGGAAGACCTTCACCTTCCTCGGTCAGAGCGCCGCCCCCTCCTGTCTGCCATCACCCGCCTCTCTGCCCGACTCTGACTAACTGTCCGTCTGTCACTCAGGTCCGGACCACGACTCGGGTCTGCTGCCCAGGTCCCTGTCGGTCATCTTCAACAGCATCGAAGGCCGCCTGTACGGCCGCTGCGACCTGAAGCCTCAGCGCTGCCGAGACTTCAGCAGACTGACTCCAGACCAGCAGGCGACCGAGAGCAGCAGCAAGAGGAACCTGCTGAGGATGCTAAAGGAGGTGAGGCAGGCGACGGGGAGCGTCGCAGCATGGTGTGAGCGCGTGCGGTGAGCTGAGCTGTCTCTGCTTCCTCTCCACAGAGCGACAGAAGCGCGACAACTGGAAGGTCGGCGTTCCTCGAAGGTCAGTGACTCTGATTTAATCAGGATGGGACTAAAAGCTGGAGAAACGCCGAGCTTATGATCTTTGAAGGTGGTGTTAGGCGTGATCACTGATCTGTGAAGATAAACTGCAGGAGTTGAGTGTGTGGGTTATTAATGTCACCTCACACTGATTTGCTCTGATGAAACAAACAGCGTCTCAGTCCAGCAACAGATGGACTCATTTGCAGATCCTGGCTGAGATGTTTGACGCTTTCCTCAAACAGTTTTTCTATGAATAGAATTGACGTCTGATTAACTGTAAGCTTTAAAACAAGGTGTGTGTGTGTGTGTGTGTG